TGTACTACATCCTTGAATTTCTGAGCTCTAGCAATGTGCCTGCCACAGCCTCCTGAGTAGCTGGGACTACAAGTGCATGTCACCATGTCTGGCCTTATTTCATTGTTATTTTATTTCAAATGTTTTATTTTTTATGTTAAAATATATGTTTTCAGATTACAAAAGTGAAACCCTATTTGATCACAGAAGACTTTAAAATGCACAGATAGATGTAAACATATCATGTAAGCCTTTCTTTAAAAACTCACTGCTATTATATTGTTGAACATTTGTAGACTGCAGCACACATGGTAGTCCCTGGAGCTGTCTTGTGCAGTGGTGCTGATTTTCATTTTGTATATATTTATATATATGCTGTAATTTCACAAAGTTGCATTCATATGTGTGAGTTATCTTGGTTATTGCTTTTTAATGTCTTATTATACAAGTAGTTTTCCATGTTATAAACTCTGCATAAAGTTTATACACTTTTACAAGCCACATCCCATTTCAGATAAGAAGATGTAACCCAACTTCTTTTGGATCCACTTGTTTTCATTTTGTCTTGTTGTAAATAATGTTTTGACAAGCATCTTTAGATAGAAAGATTCTTCTATGTTTGGAATTTAAAAAAACATCCATAGACTATTCAAATGATAAATATTAGGTCACAGACTTTTAAACGTTTCTAAATCTTTTCATAGACTTTGTCACATTGCTTCACTGAATCACTGTACTGACGTATTCCACCTCACCTTCCAGGACATGCTAGGACTCAAGGCTATTTACTCATCTGGATCACAGAGCAGTGTTGGGGGGGTAAATGTTGAGTGAAATCACAGGGTCTCGAAGGCAACTACCTTAGAGAAGACCATTACCTTTTCATTAGGCAAAGCTGGATTAACTTCACCAAATGTGTTGAATATAACTGACAAATAATTTTCAGCAGAATTTAGGAGTTCAGTGTCATTAGCTTCATCAGGATCTGCTCAGATGTCCCCATTCCGATTTTCAGAACCCCATTTATTCCCAATCAATGCCTTCACTGAAATAACATATTCTTTGAGATTGGGATTTGTTTTGTGTTTTAATTTAGCCACCCACAGGATGAGACTCGGGCTTATTTTTCAGAAATAAAAATAACCTCCTGCAGCTACAGGAGATTAAGATTTCATTCAAAGGAATCACAAAAACTTTTAGGAGATTTATATGGCTCATGATCTGGAAGTTTGCAGCCCAGAATTCGTCTTTTTCTTTCCCCATTTCATCCAGCACAATTGGTAGCAATCAGACAATCACCTTATACTTGCTAGTTTAACAAAGTCTTCTAAGGTCTCAAATGCATGATCACTCAGATCTTATAAGTATTTGATTAGGTCTATCTGATGGTGATATTCTGAGTATTAGCACTCTCTCTACTACTGGAAATAGAGTCATTTGTGGCTTTAAATCTAAATAGATTATAGGACCAATTCAAGAACACCCCCCTCACCACCACTACACCAAAATTCAGTAAATTTTTTCTTAAAATTCTGTTCCAGTGTCCCTGTGCCCCAGAAAGCTGGGCTGTACATGATCTGAGACCTGGCAGGCCAAGGACAGCTGGCTCAGCTGGGTGAGCTATGCACTGGTGGGCCAGCAGCCCACAATGCTGCTGGGTTTATGGGTGCCAAGCCCATTCTGGAGTGGCACACACTGAGTCAGGCTCCAGCCAGCGTTATGTTGAATAAAAGTGATAAAATCTGGCATCTTGTTTTGTTCCAGTTCTTAGAGGAAAGACTTTTAAATATTCTCTGTTCAGTGTGATGTTAGCTGTGGGTTTGTCATATGCAGCCTTTATTATTTGAGTTATGTTTCTTCTATACCTAGTTTGTGGAGGGTTTTTATCATGGGGATGTTGAATTTCACAAATGCCTTTTTAGAACCTATTGAAATGACCATGTGGTTTTTGCTTTTGGTTCTATTAATGTGATGAATCTTGTTTATTGATTTGCAAATATTGAAGCATTTTTGCATCCCTGGGATGAATCCCACTTGATCATGGTGCATGATCTTTTTAACGTGTTGTTGAATTTGGTTTGCTGGTATTTTGTTGTAAATTTTTTGAATTTATGTTGATCTGGGATATTGGCCTGTAGCTTTCTTTTATTGTGTCCTTGTATGCTTTTAGTATCAGGGTAATCCCGACCTCATAAAATGAGTTTGAAACCATTCCCTCCACTTCAAAATTTTCTGAATAGTTTGAGTAGAATTAGCATTAATTCTTTAAATGTTTGCTATAATTCAGCAGTGAAGCTATCAGGCTCTGGGCTTGTCTTTAATGAAAGAGATTTATTATGGCTTTGATCTCATTACTCATTACTGCTTTGTTGATGTTTTCTATTTCTTCATGGTTCAATCTTGTAGGTGATATACCTAAGGAATGTATCCATTTCTTCGAGCTTTTACAATTTGTTGGCATATAGTAGTTCATCATAGGCTCCATGCAAGCTTTCCCAACCCAAGCTTTCCCAACCCACAGGACAAAGCTCCAAGGATAGCTTTGAATGTGGCCCAAATTTGTAAATCTTTTTCAAACAACATGAGTTTTTTGTGATTTTTTTTTTTTAGCTCATCACCTATCCTTAGTGATAGCATATTTTACTAATGGCCCAAGACAATTCTTCTTTTAAAGTGGCCCAGGGAAGCCAAAAGATTGGACACCCCTGCTCTAATGAATTTTTGTATTTTTGTGGCTTCAGTTGTTTTGTCTCCTTTTTCATTTCTGATTTTATTGATTTAGGTTTTCTCTCTTTTTCTTTAGTTTAGCTAAAGTTTTGCCCATTTGGTTTATCTTTTCAAAAAAAAAACAACTTTATGTTTCCTTAATCTGCATTTTTAGTCTCAATTTTATTTCCTTCTGTTCTGATATTAATTATTTCTTTCCTTCTACTAAATTTGGGGTTGATTTGTTCTTATTTTTGTAGTTTCTTGTGGTGCATTGTCAAATTGTTTATTTGAAGTCGTTCTGCTTTTTTGATGTAGGTGTTTATTTCTATAAGCTTCCCTCTTAGTGCTGCCTTTGCTGTATCCCGTAGAGTTGGTTATTTGTGTTTTCATTCTCGTTTAAGAAATTTTACTTTTTCTTAATTTCTTCCTTCACTTACTAGTCATTCAAGAGCATTTTCTTTTTTTGTTGTTTTTGTTTGTTTTGTTTTGTTTTAGAGACAGTCTCGCTCTGTCATCCAGGCTGGAGTGGAGAGCAGTGGCATGCTCTCGGCTCACTGTAACCCCCGCCTCCCAGGTTCAAGTGATTCTTCTGCCTCAGCCACCCGAGTAGCTGGGATTGCCGTCGCGCGGCACCACACCTGGCTAATTTTTGTATTTTTAGTAGATGCGGGGTTTCACCATCGTGGTGAGGCTGGTCTCGAACTCCTGACCTCGTGATCCGCCTGCCTCGGCCTCCCAAAGTTCTAGGATTACAAGCATGAGCCACCGATTACTAGCTGAGCATCTTTGTTTAATTTCCATGTGTTTGTGTACTGTGTGAGGTTTCTAGACGTGGACACAGGGAGGCCTGGGACCCAGGCACGGCTGGCCAGAGGCCTGGCGTCTGCCCCTCTTCCTGCACGGCCTCCTCCTCCCAGGGAAGCTCCGCGCGTGTCCTCAAAGCAGAGAGTGGTTTCCAGACGGACCTCCACCCCCGACTGGGGGCTCGTGGGGTCTCCAGGCAGCAAGGGCCGCACCCGCGCGGACCCGATCTCTCCTCCAGGCTCGGCTGGGCCTCGAGGGCGGCAGCAGCTCGGCTCTGAGGGAGGCCCCGGCCGGCGTTGCCCAACTCGGACAGCCTTCCTGGCCCACCCGGGAGCTGAGTTTCGGGGCTTCCTGGAGAGGCCAGCCCGGATTCAGAGCGGAGGGCTCCTCAGGCCGCGAGCCCCGGAGAGAAGCAGCCCCGGTTCCCGGAGCCCGGGGCCTCCGCTGGGCGGGAGCGCGCGCGGATCTCGCAGCCGCTACAGCCTCGCGGGCTCCTCCTGGACTACAAGCCTCGGATACCTAGTGACAGCTCTACACTATTTAAGCTGAGGTTTCTCTGCCATGGCTGCGGTTTGCGGTTTCAGCTTCGTGTACCGAGAGGCTTCTTTCTTCCTCCTCTGGAGGAGTCAGTGGTTAGAGTTGAATTCCGTGGTTAGAGCCCACTCGGTGGTTAGAAGACGACTCCGGTGTCCAGCCCTAACCCCTTCTGAGATCGCAGCCTGTTCCCAGTCAGTTCCAGCGCATCGGCAAAGGGCTCGGTGTCTCCCTCCAGAGGAGACTGGACTAGGTTGTCAAAGCGTCGGAATCAAAACTGTTGCCATGTCGGATGGAGCGGCTTCCACGATGAGCCTGAGCCTGGTATCAGCATCTGGGGGTGTGGAGTTTGGGAGGAAAAGCCGGGGTCCCACAGTGTGGGGAAGGGGGCGCATGGTCAAACCAGACTGGGCAGAGCCCTCAGTATTTAGAGATCTCGAGTTGGGATGGAAATCCTGAGCTGGGGGCTCTGGGTGCAAACTCCTTTCCGCATGACCTCCCGTCAGGTTAGGCTGCGGTTTCTCATCTGCAGGCACAGGTGACTGACGGCCCTTCAGCATGGCCCATCTGTCCATCTCTTCTCCTGACCCCAGTTCATTACAGGAGAGGGAATTGGGTGCTGGAGAGTGGGGAATCCAGGACTCAGAGGGCTCACACCTGGGTAAAGAGTACTGAAAACAGCTTCCAGGGCTGACTGCTGATTCTACTACACTGGGTCTGCTTTTATTATGCAGTTTCCCTTCTTCTCCCTGCACTTCCAATGATAAAGTATAACACGTTTTAAGGTCCTTAAAACATATGTAACCCTTTTCACTCAGTAACTATACTGACCCTTAAGTGCCCATTTTCTAATCAAGGATTATACCTCTCTCTCCTACCCCCCACCAGTGCTGGGTTTGGTCTACCCCGCCCACATTGTCACCTCCGCCCCACCCCAGCACCTTTCCCTATAATTTCCTCCTTTTTCTCTATGCTTTCCCATTATGTTTGTACTTGCTGTGAAATAAGGAATAGCTTCCCAGTTCTGGTTGTTTCTTCCCACCCTTAGGAGACTTCTCACTCTGCGCTGAGAATCTCACTGGGCACCTCCTTCCTTGCCAGAAGATCAGCAGTGGATGCCCTGGGCTCAGTGAGCTCCAAAATACTGCATTATTCCACCAGAATGCATTTTTTTCCTGTTTCCAGACAGGCTGGAAACTTGCAGGACAGTGCAAGGGACTCGAGGTACCTCCTGTGTGCAAAAGGACTAACCTGCCCCTATCTGCTTGGTGACAGGCATCATTTGGTCGGGATTCTCTGCAGAGCAGAGGAAACCTCAGAACACTAGGCAGGAGCTGCACAAGAGCCCTGGGTCCTCCCTGGCCTGGAGACTCCTTCCCTGGGTCTGATGTATGGACACCTTCTCTTTAGTAGAACCAGCAAAAAGAACAAGTCATTTTCTTTCTGCAATTCTCTCAAGACACTCTTATCCCTAGGCTTCTCAGAGCTCAGAGATGACCTCCCTGGAACGTAGGCATCTGGGGAAATCAAAAAGTCTCTTAGGCTCTGTCCTCCCAGGAAGCGATCTGCACCTACCCCACAGAGGGTTGCAGACACTTTGGAGCCAGATATGGATAAACATGACTGATTTTACCCATAATCAGTATAAATTTTATTACCCCTCTCTGCAATTGATAGAAGTAATGAAAGTGTCAGGAGAGACAGAATCTCAACTGCCCTTGTCTAATATTCATTTATGCACCATTACTCCCAAGAATGGAAGAAGGGACTCTTTTCTTCCCCTGGTACATGAGATAGATTCACCATGCAATTCTAGAGCAATGTGCTGAGCTGGAAGACAGAATTCAATTAACTTAACAGCATAAAATTCATCAGAGTGTATTCTCTGACTACAACAATATTACATTAGATTTCAATACAAAGAAGATATTTTGAAATCCAAATTATATGGAATGAAATAACATGTTTTTATGTAAATTAAGGGCGAAAGACAAAAATCACCAGGGAAATAAGAAAATATTTTGAATTGAATAATCACAAAACAAGATATCCAAATCTGTGAGATGCAGCTCAAGCAGTGCTCTGAGGGAAACATGAAGCTTAAGTGCTTAAATTAGAAATGAGGAAAGACCTAAAATCAGTTCCACCCTAGAAAACTAGAAAAAGAAGAGCAAAATAATGCAAAAGTAAGTCAAAGAAGAAAATCCTAAAGAGAAGAAATCAAATAAATAAGGTAGACATTAACAGAGAAAACAGAGGCAAATTTGAATCTTCATTAAACTGACAAACCTCTAGTTAGACTGTTAAAGAAAAAAAGAGAGGACAAAAATTACCAGTATCTGGAATGTAAAAAGGATTATTACCAAAGATCCTACTTCCATTAAAAGAATAAGAAGATAATATTTTATGTATTTTTTGCCAACTTCTATGAAATGGACAAATGTACTGGAAATTAAAATAACCAAATTGAGAAAAGAAAAGAAGCATGGAAAAAAGTTACAGGCTCTTTTTATTCAAGGCTAACAGTACAAAGATCTTTAATGAAAAATTACCAAAACAATTTTAGGCTACAAGAGTAATTGAAAATCAAAACCAAACACAAATGAATAAAATAGAAAAGAAAAAAAAAGAACAATAGCACACCCCAAATAACATATATAAGCAATACACAAAGATAACAATTTACATTTAAATTTTTTTCCAAGTACATTAGTATCAGAAACATAAACCTTATAAATGTTTATGAACTCTGAAATACAAGACACTGGAAACCAAGACAGACTGTGGAAAGGGTGTATAGAGGATCGACATACATATATCCCCTGTTCATGGAGAGCAAGACTGCACATAGTTAAAATGTGATACTCTCCAAATTAATCCAGAGATTCAAATACCAAACAGAATTCTAGGAGGCCTTTTGACAGAACTTAATGAACTGATGTACTGTGTATATGAAAACGCAAAAGATATAGAATAACTCATACAATGTATTTAAACACATTTTTTTTAAGATAAGGGTCCTTGCTATATTGCTCCAGACTGGTCTTTAACTCTTCCCGCCTCAGCCTTTGAAGTAGCTGAGACTGCCAGTGTGTTATAATATACTGTACAATTTATGGAATGTATGAAAAGATGAACAAACTTAGAATCATTTTCACTAAAAAAGCTGAGATAATTTATTATGTAATAAATGTTCTTGAACAATTACACCTATTAATTACTTAAAATTTTTCTGCTTCCCATCCCTGCCATCTTGGGCTTAGTGGATTTCCCAAGAGAGGAACGCTTCCACCAATCAAGAACCTCAGCTGGCCATTTTATATTTCTAAAAACATAGTGGGATGAAGCTTCTAATTTCTCCACATTCTTCCTAACATTTGCTATTTTAAAAAAAAAGTTATTACCATAGCCGTATCATTGCAGTTGACTTTGCATTTCTGAAATGGCTAATGTTGCTGATCATATTTTCCTATGTTTCTTGGCTGCTTATGTCTCTTCTTTGAGTAAATGTCTGTACAAGTCCTTTGCCCATTTGTGACTGGATTATTTGCCTTTTGCTATTGAAATGTAAAGATTTCTTTATGTATCTGAATACTAGCCCCTGATGTGTAATTGGCAAATATCTTCTGCCATTTTATGAATTGTCTTTTCACTGTACTGATAATGTCTTTCGATGCACACAAGTTTTTAATGTGCTGAAGTTCAACTTTTTTCTATTTGGATCTGTAATCAGACCCAGGGCATGATCAGAAAATCAAGAACAGGAGATGTACAGGGGCTGGACCACCTGCCCTCTCGGGTGGCTGGAGGTCTGTCCTCAGCAGAGTCCTTCCCCTCTGACCAATGACTGCTGGGAATCAGGTCCCATCTCTAGATTCATCAAGGTGATGCATCCTTTATCTTCACCAGTGCTTTACATTACAGAAAGTTTAGCATACAGGGACCATGAGCATGAGTGTTTGTGCTGTGTGTGTGTGTGTGTGTGTGTGTGGGTGTGTGTGTGTGTGCGCGCGCGCGCGCTTTGTGTATGTGTGGTACTTTTCATTAAGGAGGCCCAAAGGAACAAGAAAATGCAAACTCCACCCCTTACATACCAGAGCTCTTCCTCCTCTACATCACAAGGGTAGCCACCACAGCTCCAGTGCCCACAACTATAAAGAGAACCAGGCCAGCAGTGGTGCCCACAATGGGGAGGGTGGGCTGGAAGACTGCTATGGGAAAGGAAGAGAAGGTGAGGGCCTCTAATCTCAGGACCTCAGCCATGACCCTCCTGAATGTCTCCAGAACTGCTCCTGTTTTTCCTGAGAAAAGACTCCACCCCCCATCGCCTGCTTACCCCATCTCACGGTGAGGGGCCCAGCAGCTCCTTGTGCTGCACATGGCTTGTGAATCTCTGGTCCTGTCTCTGTGGCTAGTCTGACTGTGCAGTTGAATTTTAAATTTTCTTTAACTGATTTCAATAGCCACTTGTGACTAGTAGCTATCATATCTAACAGTGCATACTAGAGTGTTCTTTTTAATCTCTCCAAAGATACACTTTGTGACATAAAGATTGATATATATCAAAGTTACCTTCATAAGGGAGCCATGGATGTGTCTGTGGGTCTTAGATGTAACATTAAAATACAGTATGCTCAAGAAAATATAATGAATGTGTTTTGTTTTATTTTGTTTTTCAGACAAAATCTCACTCTGTCATCTAGGCTGGAGTGCAATGGTGTGATTAGAGCTCACTAGGGCCTTGACTTCCTGGATGCAGGTGATCCTCCCATCTCTGCCTCTCGAGTAGCTGGGATTACAGGCATGAGCCACTGTGCCCAGCCTAATGTGTATTTTAACAACCATAGTGTACAGACATTAACCAGAACATGACAACACTTAAAAGTCTCAAGTTTTCATAAATGTACATCCCTATTGTCAACCCACATCTATATTTCCTTGGAAATCTGGCATAACGTTTTCTTTAACTTAGTGAACACTAAGGAGGCAAATAAGCCTTCACTTATCCCAAGAGAAAGTATTCCTTGAACACCACATATATCAAGTGATCTACAGACCCTGTAGACACATTTCCAAAATTATGAAACAAGGAATTTAAACCTTAGAATTCCATCACATTAGTATCCTTTATCTCCCTGCAACTTGGAATAATTGTTTGCTTTCACCCTAAGATGCCTCTTTTCTCATTGTCTCACTTAGAAAAATTCTAGGTGAAAATATGTGTGAGGTTTTTACAATTATGAAGAATTTTCTAAGCATAATAAAGTGCGGAAAGCCATAAAGAATGATGATAATTGATTTGACTAATTACAAGTTAAAAAATCTATTTGTAATCCACAAGCATATAAATATACAAACCCATTCCCTTAACCAGCCTCAAAGACATATAAGAAGTAAATAGACAAAGCAGTAATAATGTGTGAATATCCTTCAACCAAAGACCAGCAGGAGCACCTTAAGTGAAGAAGTTGAGTTTACTGCTCGTTGCACTGAGGGAGAATGCACACTTTGGAGAACTCCCAGGTGTGTCAGTAAGAGCATGTTAGAATGAACCTATTATAAGATTTGGGCTTTGGTAGGTGTTTCAAATGCCCAACAGATTTGGATGACCAAGGGATGACACAGAGAAGCCGATGCCACTGAAGGAAGAGCTAATTACCCACAGATGCAGGAGCAAGCACAACAGGCAGGGCCACAGGGGCAGCACCAGGGCCGATCAGGTGGAACAGGATGGGAAGGTATGCATGAAAGCCTCTGTTGTGGTTTTGAAAGGAAGAAATGAGCAAGGTGGGGTAAGCAGTGTAGACGTTTTATTTGGACCTAAAAAGGAATGAATCCTGATACATGTGATGAATCTTAAAAACACTCTGCTATGTGAAAGAAGTCCATTACCAAACAACATCCATTATATTATCCTATTTATATGAAATGTCCATAAAAACTAAATCTCTAGGGACAGAAAGTAGATTTCTTGTTGCCTAGGACTGAGGAGGTGTTAGAGGGAAATGGAGATGACTGCTTGGGAATAAATGGGTGTGGGTTTATGAAAATGTTCTAAAACTGATTGTGATGATGATACTAAAAACCACTGAGTTCAAATGGTTGAATAACGCATGTGAATTTTATCTCAAGAAAACCATTCTAATAAAAAGTGATGGCTCACATGAAATGAAGGAGAGGTGCCAGAACCTTTATGGCAGATTGTGGAGACAGAGATTGAAAAGCTCAGAGCTCTGAGCAGTGAGCTTGCTGGCATAGACAGATGTGCTTTGTAGAAGTGGACAGCCCAACAGGTGACTATTTCTATGGAAGAGCCAAAGGGCACTCTACTAAGCAATAAGGAATAAGCAGGTGAACAGGGTATTAACCTCATTTTGTCTGTCATTTGCAACGTGGAACTGACTCTAGGAGATGATGTTAAAGAACTTGTGTCCCTGGCAGCAAAGGGAACAGTAGAATCCTAGGAAGCCAGAGGCCAGACAGCAGCAAGGCAGAAGCAAAGTGAGCCAAACTTCCAAGACTTAAAAGATGCAAGAATTTAGTTCCATCATGTAACAGTTTAATGCACGGATTCAGTTCTTGGAGTAATTGGACAGATAATTGCAGATGAAAATAGACTAATGCAGACTCACCCAATAATTAGTTGCAACTTCGGGCCAGGCATGGTGACTCATGTCTAAAATCCCAGCACTTTGGGAGGCCAAGGTAGACAGATCACCTTAGGTCAGGAGTTCGAGACCAGCCTGACCAACATGGAGAAACCCCATCTCTACTAAAAATACAAAACTAGCCAGGCATGGTGGCGCACACCTGTAATCCTACCTACTTGGGAGTCTGAAGCAGGAAAATCGCTTGTACTCGGGGGGCTGAGGTTGCAGTGAGCCGAGATCGTTCCATTAAAATTCAGCCTGGGCAGCAAGAGTGAAACTCCATCTCAAAAAAAAAAAAAAAAATAGTCGCAACTTTATTAGCTGGTCTCAATATGATTTTTTTTTTTTCGAGACAGGGTCCCATTCCTTCACCCAGGTTGGAGTGCAGTGGTGAGATCTCAGCTCACTGCCAGCTCCGCCTCCTGGGGTCAGGTGATTCTCATGCCTCAGCTTCCTAAGCAGCTGGGACTACAGGTGCAAGTAACCACACTCAGCTCATTTTTGTATTGAGAGTGTTTCACATATTGCCTAAGATGGTTTCAAACACCTGAGGTCAAGCGATCCACCTGACTTGACCTCCCAAAGTGCTAGGATTAGAGGCATGAGCCACCTTGCCCAGCCAGAATGTTTTATTTTTAGTAGATCAGATTTATACAGAGTTGTATTCATTGTATAAGACTGTTGATCTGTCTAAATGCATTATTTTCAATACATATGAAAAAGAAGTCCAGAGGCTATTTATATTCACTGAAACCAAATAACTCTACATTTTAAATTTTATTCCCAGGATACATTACATACCCTGCTTGCTACCATCACATAAAGGAACTGGCCCATCTGAATATTTTGTAGAGCATCAAATTTGTTCACTGTATTAATAATATGTATTAAAATGTGATGAGCAAGAACTGGAATATACTCTGCAAGTTTCTGTAGCACAAATGCATTCCAAAGCATGGTGAACTATACAAAGATTCAAGTGTCTGCTACATTGGTAAGGTTTTGAGGAATCCAGTGATCTGTGGCATGAGGGACCATCTCCTCAAAAGTATAAGAGGAGGGTCACATGCGATGGCTCACTCCTGCAATCCCAGCACTTTGGAAGGCCAAGGCAGTCAGATCACTTGAGGTCAGGAGTTCAAGACCAGCCTGGCCAACATCGTGAAACCCCTTATCCACTAAAAATACAAAAATAGCTGGGGGTGGTGGAGCCCACCTGCAATCCCAGCTACTCAGTAGGCTGATGTGACAGAATTGCTTCAATACAGGAGGTGGAAGTTGCAGTGAGCCAAGATCATGTCACTGCACTCCTGTGGCAAAAGACTGAGACCAAGTCTCAAAAATAAATACATAAATAAATAAATAAATAAATAAGACAAATTACCGGGTTGCTGGCAAGATAGCCAAATAGGAACAGCTTCAGTGTGCAGCTCCCAAAGAGATCAATGCAGAAGGCAGGTGATCTCTGCATTTCAACTGAGTTACCTGGATCATATCATTGGGATTGGTTGGACAACGGATGCACCCAAGGAGCACGACCCAAAGCAGAGTGGGCCATCGCCTCCACCCAAGAAGCGTAAGAGGCCAGGGAACTCCCTCTCCTAGCCAAGGGAAGCCATTAGGGACTGTCCCCTGCACTCCAGCCCAGATACTATGCTTTTCCTGTGGTCTTCACAACCTGTGGACTGGGAGATTCCCTCCAGTGCCTACAACACCAGGGCCTGGGTTTCCAGCACAAAACTGGGTGGCTGTTTTGGAAGACACTGAGCTAACCACAGCAGTTTTTTTCTCATACCCCACTGGTGCCTGGAACACCAAAGAGAAAGAACCATTCACTATCGTGGAAAAGGAGCTGAAACCAAGGAGCCAAGTGATCTGGCTCAGTGGCTCCTGCCCCCACAAAGACCAGCAAGCTAAGATCCACTAGCTTAAATTCTTATAGCCAGCACAGCAGTCTGAACTTCACCTGAGACATTTGAGCTTGGTGGGGGAGGGAGGAGAGTGTCCACCATTGCTGAGATTCCATTAGGTGGTTTTAACATCAGTGTAAACAAAGACGCTGGAAAGTTCAAACTGGGTGGAGTTCACAGTAGCTTAGGAAGGTCTCTGCAGGCAGACTGCGTCACTACACTCCCACCTCATGGGGCAGGGCATCTCTGAAAAAAAGGCAGCAGCCCATCAGGGATTTATAAATAAAGTCCCCACCTTCCTGGGACAGAGCACTTGGGTACAGGAGGCTGTTTTGGGTACAGCTTCAGCAGACTTAAATGTCCCTGCCTGGCAGCTCTGAAAAGGATGGCAAATCTCCCAGCACAGTGTTCCAGCTCAAATAAGAGACAGAGTGCCTCCTCAAGTGGCAGTCCTGACCCCTGTGAATCCTGACTGTGAGACACCTCCCAGTAGGGGCCAACAGACACCTCACACAAGAGAGCTCTGGCTGGCATCTGGTGGGTGACCCTCTGGGACAAAGCTATCAGAGGAAGAAACAGGCAGCAATCTATGCTGTTCTGCAGCTCCCACTGGTGATTTCCCGGCAAGCAGTGTCTGGAGTGGACCTC